AGGTTAATTGGTAACTCTAAAATTGTTTTGAGGTGTGAGTGAGAGTGTTTGCCTCTCATTTGTCTCTGTGGTTCTGTGGTGAACTGTGGACCAGTCCAGAGCACCAACTCCCAGAGGTGCTGAACAGAAACAGGAGGATTAAACAACACATAGATGAATTATAGGGGTGCCATCTTTGAAAAGAAGAAAACAAAAACATTTGGACTCATGCGGTATTCAAAGCACACTGGTGACACATAAAGAAGATTAGTGCACGTTTCATGTGCACTTTGGTGAAGCTACTATTTATGCTGACTCACATTGGTTTAGAAGCAACACATAACATGTTTCTGCTGTCTTCACACCTTTGGAGGGATTTTGCTTATTTCAGGAAGACAAGATAAAAAAAATATTTATGTATTTCTTCAGCATTAAGGGCACCATTGTGTGCACTGATCTTTTTACTATTCAATCAGTTTGACTTAATTTACAATGTCAAGCAACTCAAAACACTTTTATCTTACACTGACCTTACATTTTTACATAGTTGTGCACAGCGTAGTCCATCCATCCATTACCTTTTACCTGCTTCTTCTTTTTAGGGTCATGGGGTCACTGTTGCCCATGTCCAGCTTTCACTGTGCAAGAGGCAGGGTACACCCTGGACAGGTCTCCAGTCCATCACAGGGACACATAGAGACAAACGAGACAAACAACCATTCACTCTCTCATTCACACCTAGAGACAATTTAGAGTTACCAATCAGCCTAACATGCATGTTTTTAATCTGTGAGAGGAAACCGGAGTACCTGGAGAAAACCCCATGCATGGAGAGAACATGCAAACCCCACCCAGAAATGTCTCCGGTTGGGATTCGATCCGGCAACCTTCTCGCTTTGAGGTGGCAGCTCTACCAACTGTGCCACCGTGCCGCCCACAGCCATGTTTTGTAATTAGTTCAAATGTAAAATGTTTATTATGCGATGAAAATGATTGCATGAACTTTTTATTGCTTCCTATTCTTTAGTGGGAGATTTCATTACAAGTTCTTAAATGAGCAAACATTAATCTAATTATTTTTATCACAACTTATGATAAAATGAGAACAGCAGATTATGAAATAATAATGCAGCTCGGGCTTTGTATTACATCCTGTTTGTTTTGGGTGTGGAATGAACAAAGGTCATGCATTTCAAAGCTTAGCTTTGACTTCTTACTGAATGTGTCCAAATAAAAAACACAAACCTATTTGCTTATGATTATTATTATTATTATTAAGCAGGATGCTCCACCTTCATCAGCTAAAGATGTTTCATTTTAGACTTTGCCTCTGAAACCAGGTTGTTACTGACAGGTGTCTGCAAAATCTCAGGTGATAAATTGCCTTCATTCAGTAAACTCAAGTCACTTGGGTTGCTTTGCCATATTTTCAGCTGAACAGTGACTCAGCATACACAGCTTGTACACTTCAACAAAGTAAATACATCCTACACCTGCTGCAGTGGAGTCAGAAATGCTGATAAAAATAACATCCTGCTTTTCTGTATGGTCCAGTTTCCTGCTTCAAACGACTGACTTGCTCAGCCTATGAAAAGACAAACTTTAAAGATGTCAGGCTCATTTGTTACATTCTGAGCTCCAGAGACCCTGAGAAGCAGCTAAAGCATGGCATCACTAACAGTCCTGGTTTGGTTGAATGACTTAAAACTAGCAGATGCCTATTAAGAAACTAATTAAACTTTTATTATTATGTTTGTTAAAGGACTGGGTAATGATGCATGCCTGTAGTGCTTCAAATCCTTCTCAATAACCTCCTCCTCATGGTTCGTGCTCATTGAAACAACTTGCTCTGACTTTCTTCTGCGTGGCAGCATGATCTGTAGATTAAGACCTTCTGTTTCCTTTAGATTTTTGCTTTGTAACCACAAGTGCTCATTAACAGGAACCAGCCAACATCTGAAAACCAACCACAGAGGACAAATATTCTCAGTTCAGATAAGAAAATATAATGCAAATGAGGAATTATATGAAATGTTTTCTTGTTGTGTGTGTGAATGATAAGTCTTGTTGAACTAAGTTACAATGACACTTGTGAAAATAACTAAATTATGCATACTCATATAAATTATATAAAAACAAAATACTATTTAATTATTATACAAAGTATAAATTACTATAAATTAATACATTACTCCAGTGGGGCTCATTAAAAACTGCTTGTATCACACTGTCACAAGAAAAAGGCAACAAAACAGCAACAAAAAAGTTATAGTTGAATATGGTGCTAATGAAAAGAGTCACAGAAGTAATATTTGATCATTAGAAGAATTAGGCTGGTTCTAGTATTTCAATCATTCACTGCCATCTAGTGGAAAAATAAAAACTTCCTATCTAAAGAAACTGAAACCTTGTGCTCATTACAAAAGTAGATTCACTGCAGCAGAGGTCCAGAACATACTTCAAGTTTGAATATAGTAAATTTTGTGTTAACAGTTGAACTTTACTAAAATAAATAAAATATAATAATAATAATAATAAAAACTAAAATAAATTAGTACAAATATACTGATACTGAACAAGTGCAGACATCCACATATGCACAAAATAATAAATTAAACTTTTTCTGAAAATAATTCCTTATATTTTGCAGTTAGCTCTGCCATAGATTGACAGTTGTTGTGGTTTACTTATCTTTAGTCTAGTTGCTATTATTTTTAACTGTTATGGGGTCATTTTCTCTTTGTTTTCTGTGAACTAAAACAAGAAGCTTGTAAAAATTTGAATATTTTTGTGTTATAAAACATTTAAATGGATCTGAGATTAAACATTCTCAACAGAAGATGTACAAAGTGTATAGATGTGTACAAAAAACTGTACAAAACAGGTGTTGAACATATTTTCCCATAGACACAAAATTAAAAAATCTGATTCTGTCCGTGGAACAACCTTTGCCGTTCTGTTTTGGAAAAAAGAAATGATTAATTTGACAATTTTTAAATTTTTTTTATTTTATTTTAAATAAGAGGTAGAAAAGCACCGATAGATTGTTATTAACTGAGAAGTCTTGAAATTTTCTGTTACTGGCAAAATTTCTAGGTGTAATTTGTGGATGAAGCCATTTTTAAATCAAGAGGGGTGTGTGTCAACTCTAATTGGGTGAGCTAGGATAGAAATGGAAATTCTGTGCAGATGTGACTTTCAACATTGTGCAAAACGTGCAAACTATCTTACAGAGTGACAACTGAGGCGGCAAAATATTTTTGACAATGACATCTGCCACTCCTGACCCACCACCACTGACAATATACTGTTTGTCCCTTGTGACAAAATATTGATGAATTTACTATTTGTGTAGCCATTTGCATCAGGATAGAAGGTAGAAAAATAGAATTTTAAAACAAAAGTTAAACATTTTGCAACATGTTAGTGCATTTCTCTCTATCTCTTTCTCAACTTGAGTTTTACTCCATGGTCTCTGGGGTCCTCAGGTCTAAAACAAAACTGAAATCAATCATCCAACATTTTTCAGTAAGGTCATCTGGACAGTTTCTTTTTTTTTTTTTTGTGCTGAAATGTTTCGCCTTCAGTTCGGAAGGCTTCGTCAGTCAAGGAAACGCACAACAAAACTGATTCTGAACTCAATCATCTTGAAAAGACAGCCAGGATAACATCCAGATAATTATAGTTTCCCCCACAAATCTGCCTCAGGGGGACAGTCATCTCAGAATAACAAAATAGATATCTCTTGTTCTTGAAACTGACGTTGTCTGAAGTGAATTGAAGTGAATTGAACTGAATCGAGCTAGAAATTTTGGTAAACCAAATGCAGTAGTTTTGATAGCAAAATGCTTCATCATCCTGTTGTATCTTTATTTTAATAACATGCAGTCATTTTTAGTATAGGTGACAGGTCATTTGTCAGGACAGGCAAAATTCAAACTACAGCCATGCTTATAACTTGTGAAAAACTTGACTGATACAGTCTTGTAAGTAGGACTTTCACTTAAACAGAAAATGTTTGAACAGTATAGCAAAAAATCGGAGTCACATTTAGACTGTAGCCTATATCTCTCTCTTCTTTTATTTGCATGGTAGATGTTTGACCTTCAAATCCTGGTCCGGGGGCCTTTCTGTGCTGAGT